ATAGTAGAAAAGTAGACAAAACAGGCATATCAAAAATTGAAAACTTTTTAAAACTTTTTGATGTAAAAAGTAAGTCTGTGGATGGAAATCAAAAGAAATTTCGATTAAAATTTTATAGTTGGATGGAAACTACTACGGAAATCTCAACTTACAACACATCAACAGGAGCGCCTTGCAAGTCATACGAAGACTTATGTTCAAGGTAAAAAAAAAGAGGGTCACACAAAAACTTTTTTCAATCTCAAATGAGGAAATTGCTGATACATTTAACGAAATGCTGAAAAAGGAAAACCAACATATGGATGTCGTACATATTGCAACTATTCTTCCTAATGCATCACCAAAACGACTTAAGCGAATTGTGGAAAGTATTCCAACTCCAACATCATAATCAAATTTTACTGAAGAGGAAGCAATAGCGCTTATGTTGGAACTGGGTCTCAGTCGAAATAAGTACCAAATATTAAGGAAAGCTCTGCATGAAAAAGGACACAATATATTACCATCATACAAGGCGATCCAGGAAAAAAAAAACAAACTATCCTACTAAATCAACAAAAAATAATGAAGAATTGAAAGAACTGAGAGCTGCGGAAAAAAGCATAATCCAAGAAGAATTTAAAGTTCAGATGGGATTAAACATCGACAAACCACTTTCAAGTTGCGGTAGTACAAATGACGGTAATACGTCGAGAAGGTTTTTTCGTGATTTTGAAATTACTTCAAAAATAACTGGAATCGACAAGGAGTTGCTTCGAAGAGTTAAAACTATTTTAATGGCACTGAATAGTAAACATAAAATTAATGAAAATCGATTTGGGGAATACACATCTGAAATTTCTAAATTACTTGTATCTCTGTATCCATGGAGGGAACTAACAGTACACAAAGTATTGTGTCATGGTCAAATAATAATTGAATCGAATATTCTTCCACTTGGAGAGTTAACAGAAGAAGCCCAGGAAGCGAGGAATCGAGATTTTAAGCATGTTCAACTATTCAGCTCAAGAAAATGCTCCAGGCAATCACAGAATGAAGATATTTTTAATAGTTTACTTCTATCTTCTGATCCTGTTCTTTCAACTATGCGAAAAAGATGGATTTGTTATGAAACTCTATCATCTCAAAACAAGGAAGATTTAAAGGACTTATATTACCTTCTGGATATGTATACCGATATGACAGATTATTTTATAGAAAATAAGTAGTGTTAGGAATTAACTATATAAGTAGGTTGTAAGAATTAATTGTATTATGTTTAAGATAAACAGTTCAAATAAAAAAAGCTATTATACTAACTGATGATATTGTATTAAATTGTGTTTTATATTTCGGTGGGCGGGAAAGGTAATTTGTGTGGGGTGATTTAGGTGTTGTTGTGCGTGGCTCATAATAAAATTATAATTTTTTTTATTTTATATACAATATTATAATAAAATAATTAACTAAATAATTTTTAAAAATTGTCCAAATATTTTATTCAACACCAAATGTATGTTCTGTCATACTTAATACTAAAATATGAAAAAGATGAAATTAAAGGACACAGGTTTAAATGAACATATTTTTGAATGTAATTGAGATATTGGCTTGAAATTTTTTGTAAAGGGTCGAGAATTTCCATATCTAACTAAAAAATGATATGAAATGATAATAAAATAAATATGGACTAAATTGTTGTAGCTATCTGCGATCCTATTAAAATTTTGATATAAATCATAGTTTTAGAAATTAAACAAATATGTAATATATGACAAAATCTTTATTTATGAACAAAACTCAATGAAATTTTCAACGCTTGTTAAATTTGTCATTTCAAATAAGAATATGCAAAAAAAAATTGAAAAGGTCAAAGGGCATCCCGCAATTCCCAAAAATAGGAATGAAAATCCCAAAAATGGGATTTTTTACTTTTTTGCCCATAGGGTCCACATTTCTTTCAGGGCTGGGAAAATACTTTTGGAGTAAATAGAAAACATATTGAGGTTTCCAAAACTGCTTTCAGTTTTCTGATCCCAGCTTTGGGATTTTAGAACATGTCGCCCAAAGTTGAAGTTTTGATAAAAAATAGGTCATATTCGGAAGGACGCAGTGGCAACATTTTCAAAAAATAGGACAAGTTTTTTACGCCAAAGCGTTCTGCGTAAAGATACCTTTTAGAAAACTATAAAATTGTTATATGTTCTTAATAAAAATTTTATTTTATTAATAAAAGAGTTAAGACACATTTTTGGCAAAAAAACGCCAAAAATCTAAAATTTTTTGAACTTTTAGATTAAAAAACGTATATTTTTGGATCTGTAAACAATATTGATCTGAAATTTTTTGTATATTATTGGAAATTTTCTTGTCTAACTAACAAGAAAAAATTGAGTCCATTTGGTCCAAAATTACGCCCGGTATTCAAAAAAAGGCGGACCAAGGTATGGTAAATTTTGTATCACTAAATTTTTATATGCCTATAACTCGGATATTATAAGAGATAAGTAGTATGTCCAAGCTGTTTTTTCAAGATCTCGTCGAGCGCTTTCACAAAATATAAAAATCTTTGTATTTGGGTGAAAAACAAAAAAATGGCACGAGTTTAAAAATTTTACATGTCGTAGGTACCCTACTTTGAGCCGCCACAGCGCCGTCCCAGGGGCATCTGCAGGGTTCATCTTCAAAACTTAAACTCGAATACTCCTTGGCTACGCTCACGCCAATTTTATCCCGATCGGATCAGCCGTTTAGAAATGCCAGATTTATTTCCAAAAAATTTCCATTCTGCCCCACTGTGCATTCTAATTAATTACAATTAAATAATAATTGTTTTTGCAGTAATATTTCTGTAAATAAAAGCTATATTTCTGTCAAAATTCGTATCTAAGTATATATGTATGTAGCTAGTTGATAATAAGTGATGTGCATTAAAGTGATTTTCGGAACAGGTTTTGTATGGGACCGATCGGACCCATGGACCGATCGTGGAAAAAGATTTTAAATAACATTTTGTATACAAAAGTATATGTTTGGTAATAAGTAATATGAATTTAAGTGATATCTGGGAGGGGACTAAATTAATATTTGTGCCAAATTTTGCAAGGTTATCATTATTTGGTATTGATTTATGTGCGTTTAAGTGATTTTTTGAAGGAGATCCTCTACGGGAGCTATGACCAAATATGGACCGATCGTGAAACAATTTTAAAATTACATTTTTGTATACAAAAGTAATATTTGTGACAAATTTTGTATAGAAATTTTACAGTATCATTTCTGTATATAAAAGCAATATTTGTGCCAAAATTTGTATGGATACCATCATTTAATAATAAGTTATGTGCGTTTAAGAGATTTTCGGGAGGGGACCTTGTATGGGAGCTAAGACCAAATATGGACCAATAGTGAAAACATTTTACAGTATCATATCTATCTATAAAGGCAATATTTGTAAAAAATTTTGTATGGATATCATTATTTGGTAATGTGTAATATGCGCTTAAGTTATTTTCGGGAGGGAACCTTGTATTAAGAAAATTCTTCCTCTATATGAATTCAATTCACATACAACTTTTACTTGTAAAAGTTTGAAAAGATATTGTCATTCTACCGGAAATTATTAACAATTAATGAATTTTCCGGGAAACCGATGTAAACCGATTTTGCTATTTTTCAATACCAAAATGCCTAGGACAATAATGAATCTTTTGGCCGCATTTAATTAAACTCGGTAATGGGTTGTACTTCCATAACTTATTTCTTTTCAATGTAAGTTTTTCCTAGGTTATTTAGCATCGTTTTTACGTGAGCGTGTTTTACGCAGACAGACAGACGGAAATAACTAAATCGACTCAGAATTTGATATGGACCCGGAATATATATACTTTACTGGGTCTCATATTAATATTTTTTGTTGTTACATACGGAATAACAAACTTATAAAGTACTGCTCAAAAATATAGCGCACTTTCTGTTTATTATTTTCTCTTCTTATACCATTAAAAAAACTTTTTTTTGCGGTAAATTAAAGTTTATTAAAACAATATTGAAACTTATTTAAAAATAACTGCTCGGGATGATAAAATATTTTTGTCCCTATATTTTAAGACCCATTTGGTCCCAGTTGGTATTGAGTTGCCTTAGTGTAGCGAACATTTTGGGTTTTTTACCAATTTAATCTTTTAGCAGCTATTTTAAATTCTGAAGACATAAATCGTTAATCAATCAATCATAATATAATTTATAAACATTTGATAACAATTTAGTCAATGTTATTTGAGAATATTTCCTTGATAGATCCAAAATTTCTAAATTTTGCGCTATATCATTAAGCGTTTTTAATATTTTAACTAGGCCTACACACAGAAAAAAATCATTGTAAAAACGGCGAAAACAAGGTTGAATCAACATTTTTCAACTATGATTTTGCTTCATAGGTGTTTCATGTTAATTCAACATGATTTTCATGTTGAACTATAAAAACCCTTTAAATCAAATTGATACTCATGTTAAATTGAAATGTTTTCATGTTATTTTAACATGAAATCAATGTTATTTAACAGACCTATCTATATGTTAGGCATTTCATAACAAAAACCTAATACAAATTATTAAAATTTTTCAAAAACATAAAAAATTTCAATTTATATTAGTTTTTTGTTAAAAATATCTGTAATTAAGAAACCAAATGTATTAATATTTATTTAAAATAATTATTTATTTATATAAAATAAAAATTTAGAAATTTATACATATAATTAGTAAAATTAATTAATGTTGAATTAAGTTACTTAAGAGAAATATTTCTTCACAAACAAAACAAATAAACATATTGAAATTAATAATTATGCTTTTAAAAAGTTTAACAAGGAGTAAATTGCTGATAATTTGTTATCATTAGTAGGTTTAATTTCATAAAAGTATTCTTGTATAAATAGCCACGGACCTTGGCCACCTTTTGGATATTCTGAGGACATTGTATACATTATTTTAAAGCAAATATCTAAACTTTTCAAAAACTAGTCACATTTTAAGAGTGTTTCATCAAAATATACGTACAATTTTTCAAGATTATAAATACTATGACCTACAACTATTATAAAAGGTTGAATAGTTAAACTTCTGTTATAATATTTCTCTTTAAGTTCTGATATTATCTTTTCGTAATCATTTATAGTGGTAAGGTGGACAATAAAACTCTCGTTTGCATCTGGTATAGAAACCTTTTTTGAAATTTTTCCTCGTTTATCCGAAAAACGTGCGCTTGGTAAAATAACTGAATTTACCAGAATAGTATATATATAATCTAGTGAATCTGGAAACAAGGTGCTAATTAATAATATGACTTAAAAAATATACATAATATATATTATATTATAATAATTACTTTGTTCAGTAATATTCTTTGAATTTTTCAGAACTTCCTTAGACCTTTTGTCTTTTACATGTAAATAGTAATAGCTTACAATTTTTCCATAAATCCCTTACATTTACTTAAAAAAAGAAGATAACTCTTATTTGGGTGCATCAATTCGAAATCGATATTAACCTATATAGAAAACAGAAATGATAATCTATATATATATAAAAATGAATGTGTGTTTATTTGTTTGTGGGTTTGTTTGTGAGTTTGTTTGTTTGAAGTCTATAGACTGCTGGACCGATTTTCTTGAAATTTTCACAGTGCCTTCCTGTATGTCTGGAAGGAACTATAGGCTACTTTTTATTTAGAAATTTTAAGTGGGCGAGGTGCCACGCCTACATCCAAAATAATAATTAAAAGTTGCATATCTCAGAAACTGCAACAGCTAGAGTCCTCAGATTTTGTATGGACAACTTTGACATCCATATGAACATATGTGGAAAAAAATGGGCGGCCTATCTATAGTGGGCGTGACACCTCCCATATAATAAAATATTAAATTAGTATATCTGAGAAAATATAACAGTTAGAGTTCTCAAATTTTTCGGAGCTACTTTATTAACAACATGAATATTTAGGACAAAAAATAGGCGGACTAGCAATAGGGGGCACCTCCCATATGAATCTATATATATAAAAATGAAAGTGTGTTTGTATGTATGTATGTATGTATGTATGTATGTATGTATGTATGTATGTATGTATGTATGTTTGTTTGTTTGTTTGTGCTTTATAGACTGCTAAACGGCTGGACCAATTTTCCTGAAATTTTCACAGTTTCTTCCTGTATGTTTGGAAGGAACTATAGGCTACTTTTTTGGTTGAAATTTCATGTGGGCGACGTGTCACACCCATATTAAGAAAATATTAAATTAGTATATCTGAGATAATATAATAGTTAGAGTCTTCAAATTTTGTCGGAGCAACTTTAGTATCAATATAATTATTTAAGGCAAAAAGTAGGCGGATTAACATTAGGGGGCGTGGCACCTCCAATATAAATTAAATACAAAAATCTTGGAAACTATTACAGTTAGAATATTAAAAATTTGCACGAGTAACTTTAATATCCATGTAAACATTTTGGGAAATAAATTGGCGGACTACCCATGAGGGGAAAATTGGTTTATCTGGGAAACTAATAGAACTAAATTCTTCAAATTTTGCACTAAGAACTTAAATATTCATCTGAACATTTTGGAGAAAAAAGAGCGGACTTTCGTCAGGGGGGGCTTGGAGCCCCCATATAAATTAAATAGGAAAATTATTATATCTGAGAAACTATTAGAGCTAGAATCTTCAAATTTTAATTGAAGAACTTTGACATTCATGTGAACATTCAGAGAATAACGTGCGGACTTTCAATGGGGGGTTTGGCACCTCATATCTGAATTAAATACAAAATTTCGCTTATCTGGGAATCTAATAGAACAAGATTCTTCAAATATTGGAAGAAGAACTTTATTATACATATGAAAATTTTGGAGAAAAAAAGGGCGGACTTTCATCTGGGGGCTGTGAGTTCCCATATGAATTAAATAGAAAAATTCGTATATCTGAGATACTATTAGAGCTAGAATCTTCAAATTCTACATGAAGATCTTTGACATAATGTGAACATTTAGAGAATAACTTGCGGACTTTCAATGGGGTCTTGGCACCGCCTATATGAATTAAATACAAAATTTCGTATATCCGGAAAAATATTAGATTTTTTTTTAATTTGTCATCGATTACATTGAAATCTTAATTAACGTTCGGAAAAAATGTATCTCTGGAAAACATTACAGTTAGAATCTTCAAAATTATTAAGAAGATTTTTTATTTATATTGCTTTTAGGGTAGCAAAGCACACTGGGTATAGCTAGTAATACATAAATATGAAATTTCAACACAATTTGTTTAAACTTACTAGTTCGTTAGACCGAGCGTTAGAATAGAGAGGCCAGTTCTCTAGAAATTCATAATTATTAGTAGATAACTTCAATTCTTTTTGCTTTAACAAGAATGTTCGTTGCCATTTATCTTTAACTTCATCCCAATTAGAAAAATCTCTAGAAAGGTAAGCTGTTAAAGCTAGTAAAATTGATTCATCGAGTTCAGAATTAACTGTCAGCGAGTTGGAATTCGAAGCATCTAAATTTTCTTTAATTTTAACTGATGAGCGTGCACGCTTTGCCTTTTGGTTAACGTATTTATCCCAAAAATTCCCTCCTGGACTCGCTTTTCTACCTTGTGGAATAAAATAGTATTCCTAATAGTTAACAAAACAAAATTATTTCTGCATTAAATTTGTTTCATTAAAAACTTACTCTTATCTCACTGGGGAAGTTGTTGACAATATCGTTCACTATTATTGGCAAATCTTTTGGTGATAATTTAGCTTCATGATAAAATATGTCTTCCAAAATTATATTAATCAATTCTGCACGAAATGAGTCAGTCAAGTTATCATTTTGTTTATAAAAACTTGTTAAAGATTTCCCCTTAGGACTTTCTTCTAAAATCTGCTTTAGACTCTAAAATTAAATATAAATCACTTAATAGTAGCGGACACTATGAAAACAAATCCGTACTTTACCTTAGATAGCTTACAACTTCCAACTGATAGAGAAAAAGATGTTGTTGGTGTTGATGTTGTTCCAATATTAGATTGGTTTTGTAGCCATGAAACTACTTTTTCGGCTATCGCTTCAGACAATGTTTCGTCATTAATTCCGTACTGATAGATTAATAAAAATATTCATTAATTCTTAACTAAATAGTTGTAATAACGTTTAATACCTCAGTTTTTCTCCAACTAAAAAGTTTTTCTCGGAAACAAGCACGAATACCAATAGGGGGTATGGCTTCCTTCATATCTTCCTTTGATAAATACCTTCCCAGCAAAAAATAATTGATGTCATACTTTACAAACGACATCTTAATCACATTTAAAAATGCGATTGCATACTTTTCGCTTTTATAAACCAAACATATACTTACAAATTAAAACACAGTTAAAAATGAGAAAAGAGATGTAGAAAAGTCACTACAAACAACATATTCGAAGTACTTCAAATTTTGATGAAAAACCAATGAAATTTACATAAGCGTTTCATTGAAAGAATGTGGTTTATTTTTGACATACAAATATCGGATTTTTACAGCTTCTAAAGATAAGATTAGATGTAGTTCAAAGTTGTCAAAAATGAACAACATCCCTCCAATGACACGCTAATGTAAAATTCATAGGTTTTTCACCTGAATTTGAAGCACTTCGGGTTACTAGTTGTGATGAAAATTCTACATCTTTTTCCACACTTTTTTTGCGGGGTTAAATCAAATGTAATTTGCGCATCTAAATAAAAACATAAATGATACTCACATTTGTCAAATTATCTTAAAAAATGCATTAAATGCAATTACTTACTTGTTAAATAAGGTTTTACTTCAATTAAGTAAAAAGTTTGCAGCAGATCATCTAATGTGAATTTCCATTAGTATTCTGAACAACTGGAATATTTAATATTATATTACCATCTTCGTCACTTAAGAAATTCATGTTTTCTTCAATTGATACAATTTCTTCTACAGCACTTGTCTTTGGTAAAGACATAATTTTATTTTTATGTTTAAAAAAATTTATTTAACTCACTTTTAAACCACGCTTTTATAATAAAACACTCACGATACTTATTTAAGCTTTACTAATAGATGAATGATGCATTTTTTATGTTCTAAAATAGCGGTACTTTTTGCAGAATTCAACATGATTCCATTTCATTTCAATTCTTTCTCATGTTATTTCAAAATTCAACAACTTCGTTTCAATCTGATTCCAATTGGTTTTATCTTGGTATAATGTTGTTTTAACATGATACAATGTTGATTTAACATGAATCAGTGTCAATTTAAAATTAACTGATGTCGATTCAACATGATTCAATGTTAATTTAACTTGAAACAATGTTATTTATAATATATATAGAAATTGTAATTTTTAAATGTTTTTTAACATGAACCGACATTGATTTAACATAAAAACAATGTTGTTTTAACATGGACTAATGTTGATGCAACTTGAAACCATTTTATTCGCAATTCGTTAATCATTTCAAATTTTCCAACTAATATATTTAATTGCTTCCATTTAAAATATTTGTATTATTTTTGCGAAAGATATTTACCCATACAAGCTATTGCATATTGCAGCTTACAGACAAATATGGGCATTTCCATCGTGACGAACGTGACGGTCGTACGTTTTAAAGAGATGAAAAGTATATATATACATATATATTTTTTTAAAATTCTTGTATTTTTATATAGGTTCAATATCTGCGAATTTCACCTGGCTATTTGGTTAAAACCTTTTTTATTGTAATTTGGAATATTTATTGATTGTTTTTCAGCTTTTAGAACTAAAAAATTTTTTTTGGTCCATGATTAGGCATAGCTTTTTGACAAAAATGTAAAAATCTGCGAATTTCACCTGGCTATTTGGTTAAAACCTTTTTTATTGTAATTTGGAATATTTATTGATTGTTTTTCAGCTTTTAGAACTAAAAAATTTTTTTTGGTCCATGATTAGGCATAGCTTCCATACAAAGTCCACATTTGATATACCCATAAACTTGGATATATAACTAAAATTTCGCCATCTTGATAATACAAACACACAAAAAACTTTCAAATGTACAACTACTGACCCTTCTGCCGATAGCCGATATCCGAAAATCACTTTTTTTCCATACATTTCTTAAAAATATCATTTGTTGAATTTCTGTGCTTTTTCTTCCACTTGTCAACTAAAAAGTCATAACTATCACCTAATTGAATAAATTGCATAAATATCACATCTTTTTAAATAACAATATTTCACAATTCGAAGGTTGCACTTGAGAAAATTTATGTAATGTGACGTGACATGACAGACTTTGAAATTCTATAAAAAATAACCCCGCTTAGAATTATTTTTTTTTTTCTTTTAAATTGAGTTCTATATACTAAACTTAATTTAGATTCAAAGTTTTGAATACTTCTGAATGCCAACTAAAAAGTTATCGGGATAAATCCTGTTTCAACGTGACGAACGTGACATTTAAAAGTCTATGAAAGAAAACCGAAAATTTGCCTTTTAAGGATCTTTATCTTTTTATATTTGTATGTTTTAAGATAACTATTATTCCAACAAATATTTTCCGATAAAAGTCCATTTAAATATTAGCCTTTAAAATAATAAAAACTATTAAAAGCAAATGCTAATAAAGGTGCAAAAATATGCCTGAAATATTATTGTAACTTTTAATTCCGATTTCTCATCATAGTGGTTAAGAAAAGCTTTGGGGTCTTTAATTTAATAAAATTTGAATCTTTTTCTATAATAATAGAAGTTGAAATTTTATTTTTGATGACTTAGTTTTTGAGCCACGGTGGACTTTTCGGTGGAAATGCCCATATATTTTATATTGCTTGCCTATAATAGCAAAATATTTTCCTACACAAATTATTCGTAGTAAAAAATATTCATGCCATGCCGGCAAAAATGTGCCAACTTAAAATGTGCGCAAGCAGAGCATGTATGTGACGACGAAACTACTAAATAAAACGATAGTCGTGACTATGAGGTTGTAATATTTTTACTACAAATTTTAAATATTATTTAATATAGGAAATTATTTATGGTCTAAAATTTTACATTTTATGTTGGAATTGAAAGATTATAAAATGTGAGGAATGTATGCAAAAATAACCAAATATTAATTAGAAAATTATTGAAATCGTCTGTAGTTATGTTTGTAGAAATGTTTAATGTACATATGTATATTAAATTAATGTTTAATTTGTACGTGGAGTATTAAAATGTATTTATTTGTATTGATTGTACAAGTTAATATAATTAGAAAAATTTATGTAATTAGATAATATATATGAAGATGCAAAAAATACAATTAAGTTTTTACATGAAATGAAAAATAAGTCAAAAAGAGTTACAACAAATTTTCTCTCCAAAAAACGTGACCTGGTCGCGGTAGGAGCATACTTCGTATATTTTGATATTATGTGATAAATGTTGCTATTAGGTAAATATTTTACATATTATTGTTAAAGAATCATAAGTATTTAGTATAATTTTATATTTTGTTGTTGTTATTTTAAATATCGGACCATATATTATAAATTCCTGTAATTTTAGAAAATATATCAAACAAATAAATAATAATTCTACATGTTTTAATGAGAATTTCCAAATATTGCTAAATTTTACCTTTGACCTCCAAATTTTACGCCTTAGGATTTCCCCATTTATATTTAACTTCAGGGACATGTTTTATATACCTGAGACACTAGCTATACCCAGTGTGCTTTGCTACCCTAAAAGCAATATAAATAAAAAATCTTCTTAATAATTTTGAAGATTCTAACTGTAATGTTTTCCAGAGATACATTTTTTCCGAACGTTAATTAAGATTTTAATGTAATCGATGACAAATTAATAAAAAATCTAATATTTTTCCGGATATACGAAATTTTGTATTTAATTCATATAGGCCAAGACCCCATTGAAAGTCCGCCCGTTATTCTCTAAATGTTCACATTAATTCACATTAATGTCAAGATTCTAGCTCTAATAGTTTCTCAGATATACAAATTTTTCTATTTAATTCATATGGGAACTCCGTAAATATTTTGTTTAAAATGTATAACAGTAAAGAATTAGGACACATTTTGTAAAATATTACAAAAAAAACTGTTTTTCTCGAAATTCGCAGAATTTAAATCCCAGGTACAGCTTAACTATAAGATGTATTTTTTTCACTGTTTTATTCCTTCATTTATTGACTATAAATACCCTGATGATATTTCTAAAATTTTAAAATTTGATTAACAAAGATTTAAAAAAAATGAAAATGGAGTTTTGAAACTGCCGTGTAAAAAATTATTTTTTTGATCATAGCTAAGAAAAGGTTCATGATATCTTTTAAGGACAAAAACTTCCATTCTAGTAAATATATATATATATATATATATATATATATATATATATATATAAATAAATTTTATATGTAGGACATATGATATGATTCTTTAACAATAATATGTAAAATATTTACGTAATAGCAACATTTAACACATAATATCAAAATATACGAAGTATGCTCCTACTGCGACCAGGTCACGTTTTTGGAGACAAAATCTGTTGTAACTTTGTTTGACTTAAAGTAACAAGAATTATATATATAATATAAATTATGAAGGGCAGTATTCGCTTTGTTTAGAGGTAATCGAGCTCAAATGTAAATAATGCACATACAGTGCACTCGCGGTAACGTGAACTAATTAAAACCAAGGGAGTTCATGTTAGCGAAATTGTTCACGTTAGCGATTGTCAAATTTCATGAAAAAAATATGAAATTTTAATTTATAAATCTGTATTTTACACACTTGAGCGTGATATTCTTTTATTATTATTTATATTATTATAATATAAAACTAAAATTTTATTAAAATCCATTTTCTTTTAACATTAGACCACTTACAGGCCAATTCCTATCACGCATTCGCAGGAACCAACGGTAAAGAGTTTTTTCATTAACTGGAAGTTCTAATGATTTTAAAGTTTGTCTTTTTCCCGGTCCTTGGTATGTGTTGTTTGCACAACGCAAAATTGCTTGTTTTTATACCCTACACCACTTTAGTGGGGAGGGTATATTGTGTTTGTGCTGATGTTTGTAACGCACAATAATATTGGTCCTATACCCACCTTAAAGTATACCAATCGGCTTAGAATCATTTTCTGAGTCGGTTTAGCTATGTCCGTCTGTCCGTCCGTCCATGTAAACCTTGTAATCAAACTACAGGCCGCAATTTTGAAGATAATTGAATGAAATTTGGTACATGATCTTCTATTGTCCCAGGGACAAACCCTATTGAAAATGGTTAAGATCGGTCCATTATTTCACCTAGCCCCCATACAACTGTACCCCCCAAAAAGGGTTGTAAACATTGTAATCAAATTACAGGTCGAAATTTTGGAGATAATTCAATGAAATTTGGCACATATGGTACTGTAGACAAAGCCTATTGAAAATGGTTAACATCGGTCCATTATTTCACCTAGGCCCCATAGAATTGAACCCGCCAAATAGGGCTTTTATGTTCATAATTATGCTTAATATACTCGTATCTCGACAAAAAGCTGCAAAACCAAGTTCTATACTAGTCTTGATGACCCTGATAAAATTTTTAATTATAGGGCCTCATTTGACCCTTAGCCCCTCTAAAAAGCTCCATCAAAATTTTACTTAAATATCCACAGTTTTATTAAACTGTAAATGGCAGATATACTAATCTGAGGCAAGGTACAATTCAACTTAAATGCTTTATTATGAAAACCACATCACATTTTATTCGTATACAGGTGTAGGGTAATATATGGTCGGTGTCGCCCGACTATAACTTCTTACGTGTTTCTTTTTAATACTGCATATTGTTGACTTAGCGACATTATACTTTTTTGATAAACTAGTCACACTTGTCCCTCTTTGCAAACTATCTAAAATGTCTGCCTTTTCTTTTAACTGCAAACATTTAGATTTTTTTACACTCATAACTTCAAATTTCTTTGCCATATAAACAAAATAATTTAGGGGATATACATTCATTTATATAAGCAGATTCCCAAAATTTTCAAATTCGAATTTAATGAATGTATTTCAATGTTGTCTACATGCTTAGAAAACATATATTGTGAAAAAAAAATTGTTCACGTTATAGAGCTTTCTGTGTTTGTTCACGTTACAGAGTAGTCAATGTAAAAAACATCTTGTTCACGTTAGGCGGTGTTCACGTTAGACGGTGTTCACGTTACCGCGAGTGCACTGTACATATATAATTGTCATTTCATGTAAAAACTTAATTGTATTTTTGCATCTTCACATATATTTTCTAGTTATATAAATTTTTCTAATTATATTAACTTTTACAATTAATACAAATAAATACATTTTAATACTCCACATAAAAATTAAACATTAATTTAATATATCGTCATATGAAATCCAAAAAGCCCTAAGTTACAAAAAAATCAATATCGACTTTTTGATTGATTATGATGCACCGTATCAAAATACATGTTCCTGTTAAATTTTACACTCCTACAATTAAAATCAACGTCCCTATCAAAGAAATTCTAAAAAGTTATGTTCTAAAATCACCTTAAAATTCATGAAAATTTTAAAATTCTTTTGAATTTTTAACTTTGAAACTGTGAAATGTTATAAGTTGGCATCAAATGAAACAAAAATGGCACTTTTAGCGAATCCTTGTAATTTAGAGATTATTTTATCGATTTTAGAATTTTTTCAAAGAACATTCCAATTTCCTAAAATCTTTATGAAAACAAAGAACCCTTATGCCTTCCATGTTTCGGCCTATTTAACCAACAAAAACCGATGTGAATTTAGTTGAAAATGTTAAAACTAACTTGAGAAAATGTTGAACATTTTTGGTTTATTTATCATTTTAGACGGTTTTTTGCTTCTCTCGAAAAATTTGTTCAATGTGACTTAGGGCTTTTTGGATTTCATATGACGATATGTACCATAAACATTTATTTTTGCATACATTCCTCACATTATATAATCTTTCAATTCTAACACAAAATGTAAAATTTTAGACCATAAATAATTTCCTATATTAAATAATATTTAAAATTTGTAGTAAAAATATTACAACCTCATATTCGCGACTATCGTTTTATTTAGTAATTTCGTCGTCACATATATGCTTTGCTTGCGTCATTTCGAGTTCGTACATTTTTGCCGGCATGGCATGAATATTGTACCCTCCACCACCATCAGTGGTGATAGAGGGTATATATAAGTTTGTCATTCCGTGTGTAACACCTAGAAATATTCATCTGAGACCCAACAAATATATATATTCTTCATCCTTATGAAATTCTGAGTCGATTTAGCTGTGTCCGTCTGTCTGTCTGTCTGCCTAAAACACGCTCACGTTAAAACTAAGCAAAAGAAATAAACCAAATTCACCAAAAAATATTTGTTATTATCATAAGCACTTCCGAAAATCACTTAAACGGATATATTTCATTGAATTATAAAGCTATCGGGATAAAAATCGACACAAATATGTTTTGTATACATACAAATCATTCTACAAATTTTTTTTACAGATCGGTCCATTATTGGTCAGAGCTCCCATATAAGGCCCACTTCCGAAAATCTCTTAAAAACACATATTTCATTGTCAAATAAAGCTATCGTGATAAAATTCGACATAAATATATTTTGTCTAAATATGAATTACTCTACTAATTTTTTTTCGGATAGGCCCATAATTGGTCATAGCTCCCATATAAGGTCCACTTCCTAAAATCACTTAAACGCAGATATTTCATTAAATTCTAAAACTATAAGGATAAAATTCGACTTGAATATATTCTATGTACATATAAATCATTCTACCACTTTTTTCCCGGATCGGTCCATTATTGACCATAGCTCCCATATAAGTCCCACTTCCGAAAATCATTTAAGCGCACATATTTAATTGTCAAATAAAGTTATATTGATAAAATTCGACACAAATATGTTTTGTCATAGAGGGTCCACTTGCGAAAATCAGTTAAACGCATATATTTCTTTGAATAATAAAGCTATCGGGATAAAGTACGACTTGAATATGTTTTGTAAGCATATAAATCATTCTACCAAACCTTACACAAATACATATAAAGTCCACTTCCGAAAATCACCTAAACGCAAATATTTCATTAATTAATAAATCTATTGTAGTAAAATTCGACTTGATTTTTTTGGCATATTTTTTCCTTATCGGTCGATAATTAGTCACAACTCCCATATAAGGACCCTTTCCGAAAATTACTCAAATACACATTGACGATCAAAGTTATCATTCTACGGAATTTTTTTCCGGATCGGTCCATAGGTTGTCTTAGCTGCCATATAAGGTATACTTCTGAAAATCACTTAATTCGTAATTAAATGATTACATCCGGATAAAATTCAAAATGAGCATGTTCTGTGTACAGATAAATCAATATATTAAAATGTTTTCAAACTGGCCTATTAATATACATACATATATCTCGACATAATTAAAATTAGTTTGACATATGCGTAAATGTTAGTACCCGCAATACGGAAACAAAAATTTTGCCAAGTTATCAGAAAATTAGATAGTTAAATGGGTTTCAATAAAAAGTAGCTTGCTGGTGGAGGGTATTTAAGATTTTGATATTATAGGCAAGCAATATAAAATATATGTACATATGTGGGTATTTTAAATATGTTAGCGAGTTGCTGCGAAATATACTGTATATGAAAAAAATTTAAGCTGCAATATGCAATAGATGGTGGGTAAATATTTTTTGCAAAAATACTACAAATATTTTGAACAGTACCATATTTTAAATATGCATATTTTTAAATATGAGGAAAATGCATATATATTGCAAATTAAAAAATAAAAATATAAAAGCAATTACTAATATTTAAACTCTGGTTTCAACATGTTTCGATGTTGATTTTATTGTAAATAAAATGTTAAATTAACATTGGCCCATGTTATTTTAACTAAACGCAATGTTGATTTTACGTTAAAAAATTAAGTTTTTACTATAAAAATGCATTTTATAAAATCAACATTGAAAACTGTTATTTTAACATTATAAAATGTTAAATCAAATGTGCACAATTTTATATCAAAACGAATAGTGTTGAAACAACTATTTTTAAGATTAAATTAACATCTTTTAATGTTGATTCAAATATAAACAATGTTGAATATACATTTTTTAAAAATTTTGTCAAAAATTTACAATGACTCGAAATCAACATTTTTTCATGTTGATTTTACATTGGGTTTTTTTTTTTTCTGTGTGTATGTTTAAATAGACCCAAAAATATGATCATATTTTCTACAAAAATTTAAAATTTAGTGACCCTAGTATTTTCATATTCTAAAAAGAGATAACAGGCCAAGAGAAAGGATGCTAAGACATGCACATGTGCTAACTGAAACACCACCAAGAAATATGTTGTTAAAGTTCTTATAAATGGACATTTAATTTTCAGTTAATGGACATTTTTCAGAAAATGGAAAATAACTATTATTTTTATTTATTTAGTATACAAATATATTATCAAATCGGTGTAATACGATTTTAGATATTAACGGATTAGTTCTTAATTTTTTATATTACATGTGAGATTTAGCTTGTGTAGAATTAAGCATATTCAGATCATATTAATGATGTGTTATTGTTCCGTAGATTAAGATTAAACAGTAGAGCACGTTTTTTATAGTTTTTTAGTGAAATTTGATCAAATTATTACAACTTGTATCATCACAATCTTAAATCTGCCAAAAAGTTACCCTTGTTAGGGGTCAGATTGTTGTTTACCTGGGGAAAAAATTGTAAAATCCTATTTGAAATTTATCTACAATGTCACTAGATATAATCATCATTAAAAAAAATTAACTATTGACAAATTAAGGGCATAATTCGACAAAAAGTAATTTACTTGTACTACAAGACACATTTCAGCAAAAGTAACCAAAGTCAACTGCTTTAAATTTGTCACTTCAAATCAAATTGCATTTAGAAGCCTAGACAAGTGTCTTTAATAATAATTATTTGCAATTTTGCAAAATTAATTAAAAATTTTCAATGTTGTTTCAACTTATTTCAAAGAGTGAAACAGTTTTTTGTGGTTAGTTTTGTATTAGAAGCCCTAATACCGTTATTTTGCCGTCTTACGCCGAATATTGGTACTATTACATAAACTGGACTTCGTTCTTGAAGTTACCATCAATCATGTTTTTCTAACTTAATTAATTGTAATACATATATACTATAGAAGGAATAAGAGTGTTATACTCATCGCTCTTCTGTATTCTGTATTTTTAAGCCCGTAATGATCGTTTAAGTAATTTTTTGAAGGGAACCTTATATGGGAAGTAGAGTCAATTATCCAAATAAAGTTTGATAGAGAGATTTTGGCTTCATTGAAACTTATGCGTGTCGAAATTCATCACTATACTCGTATTTTTCAGCTAGTAATGATCGTTAAAGTCATATTCTGAAGGGGACCTTATATGGGGGGTAGGGTCAGTTACGGACCGATCAACATAAAATTAGGTAGGCAGATTTTTGATCATATAAAACTTATGTGTGTTAAATTTTATCACTATACTCGTATTTTTAAGTCAGTAATGAGCGTTAAAGTCATTTTCTGAGGGGGCCTTGTATGGGGGGTCAATTATGGACCGATCAATATAAAATTTGGTAGAGAGGTTTTGGATCATGCAAAACTTATTTATGTCGAATTTCATCGCTATACTCGTACTTTTGAAACAGATATGCCCATTAAAGCTGTTTTTCGGGGGTCCATTTGTATTGGGGCTATCCGAAAACGTTGACCGATATTGCCCATTTTCAATACCAAACAAACCTTACCTATAAGAAATATTTATGTGAAATTTCAACCCTCTAGCTCTTTCCATTCGGACTCTATCGTGCTTTCAACAGACAGACAGACGGACGGACAGACATGGGCATAGAATTTAATGAGGACCCAGAATATATATACTTTTGTGGGTCTATGACCAATATTTCGATGTGTTACAAACGGAATGACAAAATCAATATACCCCCATCTTTTTTGATGGTGGGTATAAAAAAAGTAAATTTGCTTGACTTCCATAGCTTAGTTTTAACTTAAAAGTGTTTTAACCAGACAAACAGACGGACATAGCTAAATCGACTCATAAGGAACCAGAATATATATACTTTGGGTCCCAAATGAATATTTCTTGGTGTTACACACAGAATGACAAATTTATATACATATACCCTATATCACCACTGATGGTGGTGGAGGGTACAAAAACTTACATCGTTCTGAAATTTCATAATTGCACAAAAAAGTACCAAAAATCAGTCTTAAAGCACAGAAGTACTCATTTTGTCGTTTTTCGCCCGAAACTTTGGTCTTACATATTTCAAACATTTTAAAAAGCTTAATCAAAAAGGTTTCTGCTTAAGTATAGACAATAATCAGTATTTATTTATTCAAAAGTACTAATTTTGCCCTTTTTTCCCCCATCTAGCACCAAAAGAAGGGGCCCAAAAATATATTTTTTTTTAGCTTTTTGCTCTATTAAAATATAAATATTTACAATTTTATTTCTATAGACCTTTTTATACAGCAAATGCAAAATTTCCTTTTTTACCCGTTTCTCGTCCTAATGACAGGTTTTCGAAATATACACATGTATGTACATATTTCTGAGACTATAAAAATCATGGTCTATAATATTTTTCCTTTAGAAAGAAAAAAATCAGTCAGAAAGCGAAAAAGTACTAATTTTGCCCATTTTTTTCACCCATTTACCCTCTTTTTGCCCTTCGGTTTCTGTTTTGAAAAACCTATAAAACCCTCCAAGTATAGATCTATGTTCCAAATTTCGGTCCAACCGTTTAGACGGAATTTACAAATAAACAAATAAACAAAGAGATTTATGGTATATGTATGTATATTACACAGAAAAAAATATGCACAATTTTTTTCTTAACAATCGTTTGCTTAAATTTAATTTAGATTTTTATAAATATTTTTATTTGGTTTTATAACGAATTTGTTTAATTTTCACACAGAAGGAAAATATTTTCTAACAAACACTTTATTGAAATAAATTAAATTTTCAGTAAATATTTTTACTGGTTCAATAAATGCTTTTGTTTGAGTTTTATTTATATGTCAGCATATGTCAGCAATAAAACAAGTTTTGGAATGTACTAAAATGAATTGATATGATTCTTACTTGGTTTATAACATTTAATGTATAAGTGTTTCAGTTTTCACAGCACAAAGTAATAGTTTCTAGAAATAAAATTGTTGTCAGTATATAAGTAATTTTTTCTACAAATTTTAATTTTATAGAATTAGTAAAATTTTTGTAAAATTCAATATATATATTTTAACAAAATTTGTATAGATTCAATAAGAAATTTTGTGTATTATTATTGCCAAAATGCAATAAATAATTTATCTGTTTCGGATAAAATAATTGCTATCCTATTTTGGTAAAAAAAAAATACTTGGCTTTATGAATTTTTTGTTTGATTTTGAATTTAATTTTTTTCTGTGTAGAATGAATAAGTAAAATATATAAAAAATATTCTTCAAGCTTGCGTTCGAGTCCCACTTGGGGATAATTTTTTCAACATTGCACATTGGTTTAAAATTAGATTTTTCTGGCCGAATTGTAATTTTTTCATACTGTTTTTTTCGGACATTTTTTATGACATCGAGATGAAAAACACTTCAAATTATTAAAAAATGAATTTTGCTTTTAAAACCCGTTACTTCCTGCTAATTAACAGTTGCTCAAACATTGAACTTTTTAGTATTGTTGAAAAATCTAGTGCATTTATTTTAACTTAAGTATTTAGTTAAATGATTTTGTAGCTTACATATAGAAAGTTTTGAACAAAGTTTTTTATGAATTGCAAAGCTGATGGCATGTATTTATTAAATGTAACATAACAAATTTCAAATAATAAACAGATATAAAAAAAAACTATCTTTTCTGATGCATAATGGAAAATTTATTTTTTTATTTTTTTTTCGATAAATTTTAACTTTTAAAAAAATGTCCAACAGCGAAAAAACAAAATTCGAAAATAACGCGTAGTCTGTCAATCAGAATGTGTTATTTTTTTATGCAATAACTTGCAATAATTGGATTATTTTGTGATATTTTTAATTATATGTATACTGAAATTTTTTGCATTTTTGGGCCCGCTACCGCTCCTCATCAGCAATTTTCTGATGCAACTCAAGCCTGAAGGATGTTCAATTAATAATATATTCAATAGTTCGAAAAAACATTTAAATTTAACGTCGTCATCATCATCTACACGAATTCCGCCATTTAAGGTCTTTTGTTGATATAATTATAGGATTAAAATAAATAAATAAATAAAAATTAAGTGCTGTAAAAATTATCTTTTACTGCAGCGAACTAATAATTAAATATTTAGTTCTAATGAAACCTTAAAAATAGCTTTTACCAATTGTAATTCAGTTAAATTTTTTTGTGTCTCTTATTTTTAGTGGGTGGAAGAAAGTTTTACTGATTTTGTCAAAGGCATAAATTGGAGAAGTTATGTTGTGTGCGATGTAGCATATCATAATGTTAATAACTGGCTTTGGTCACCGTTTATTGATCGAGGTCCAGCTAATCGATTATACATTGAAATTCAATTTACCATTAGAGACTGCTCACTTTTTCCAGGTAAGTACAAAAAATACGAATTTTACATCTATATACGCATGTGGGAAAAAAATTAATCAGTGGTGGTAAAAATAATAAAAACCATCAAAATTTTCACAAAAAACATCCATTATAATTTAATGATATATATATATATATATATATATATATATATATATATATAGATATATATATATATATATATATATATATATATATATATATATATATATATATATATATATATATATATATATATATATATATATATATATCATATATATATATATTTTCTCCTTTTTTCCAGAGATAAAACAAAAATTTGATATTGGGACTTAAAAGACCCCTTGGGGTATCTAAAAATAATATTTTTTGTTACAATAAAATGTATTTGAACGTTCCAAGATAAATTATTCGGATCATTCTTCTGTCGCTAATTCAATATATTGGAACTTAAGTCCATTTTTATAATACTAGGATCAACTATTTTCGGGGAAAGTTTTCTGGTATATATTCTTTTAGATATCAGCTTTTATACATTTTAAGTTTTCAATGTTTTGTGGAAGTGTACAACTCCAAAACATGCCTCGAAGAAGCACCATTCAAAATAGTAAAATCATTATTTTTATATACCAATGGCATCCATGCTGCATGGCACGATATCATTATGATCACATCAAAAATGTTGATATGTGTTTAAATATTATTTACTATGATCAAATTAAAACCAAAATTTAGGACTTACAGTGTTATTGTAACGGGCAACATAAGCGTGAAAGTTACGAGTAGTAAAAACTGAAATCTACTATATAGGATGACGTTTTGTTAAGGCATGTTTTGGGGTTGTATACCGCTATAATATATTGAAAATTTAAAAAACATTAGTGCCAATATGTGCATGAATATACACTAGACAACTTTGTCGGAAAATATCGTCCCTAGAGGTACGAAAAGGGACTTATGATCCAGATAATTCAATTAGAAACTGAAAAACGATACCAAAAATACATCTTGGAACGTTTAAGTACAGATCCTTATAACAAAAAATATTATTTTTAGATACCCTATGGGTTCTATTAAATTCCAATATAAAATTTTGGTTTTATCTGTGGAAAAAGGGTGAAAACTTTACAAATATAGCCAAAAATCGCCATTTTAATGATATTACATGAAAAGAGGGTACAAATCCCCCAAAATTGTGGACCAAATGGGTCAAAAATATATCCATGCGGTTGATAGTAACCCCTTTAAACAATATTAAGCATAAAACCATGCGATTCTAAAATTTGTGTATCGTATAATATGATCAAATATGAAATACAGGAAAAATTCGCATACTTTTGTAAAGTAGTTTCATGGACTTTTTTTAAAAAAGAACAACTAATTTCAGAAAATGTAAAGTTTTCAAGTTTTAAGGGGGCGTGATATCAAAACTATGGACTATCTAGACAATATAACAAATGAATTTATTTATTTTCCACACAAAATATATATATGCATAGTTTACCTAAATTCGAATACTTATGAGAGACACTATATATATATATATATATATATATATATATATATATATATATATATATATATATATATATATATATATATATATTTTCTAGGTTTTTTTGCTCTATCATATTTTATAAAGGTAAGGATAGTTTTATAAAAATCGGGCGTAGAAAGGGCGTGGCATCGGATCAAGTTCTTATATATAGACTATAGTTCTTTCCAAGCTTATACCTATCGGTATACAAAATTTCAGGTTAATCGGTTCAGTAGTTTTTGCATATTGTGATTGTAAAATTGGTGTAATAATAGTTTTGCAAAAAGTGGGCGTAAAAAGGGGCGTGTCATCCGATCAAGATCTTATATAGCCTATTGTTCCTTTTGGGGTTAGACCTATTAGCTGTCCAAATTTCATGTAAATCAGTTCAGTAGTTTTACCGTGAAAGCGTAACAAACACACAAACAAACAGTCTGTTTTATATACATATATATAGGATTATATATTATAGGTTTTGAAGATGTAATGTGTCGTACTGTTCATACCACAACATTCATTATAATAGATTTCATGAAAATCGGATCAGTAGTTTTTTTGTATGCCTGAACGTAAATTTGGTTTAATAATTGTTTTACAAAAAGTTGGTGTAAAAAGGGGCGTGGCGTCCGATCCTGAGATAAGACTTATCGGTTCAGTAGTTTTCTGTAAGTCTCGAATAACAATTATATAGAAAAAAGTGAGCATAATAAGAATCGTGACGTCAAATCATTATTTTATATAGGATCTTGTTCTACTTTAGAATAGAACTATTAGTGTTCGAAATTTCATGTAAATCGGTTCAGTAGTTTGTCCGTGAAAGCGTAACAAACAGACATTCTCTTTCATATAATTATAGGATAAGATATAGGTAAGGATAGTTTTATAAAAATCAGGCGTAGAAAGGGCGTGGCATCGGATCAAGTTCTTATATATAGCCTATAGTTCTTTCCAAGCTTATGCCTATCGGTATGCAAAATTTCAGGTTAATCGGTTTAGTAGTTTTTGCATATTGTGATTGTAAAATTGGTGTAATAATAGTTTTACAAAAAGTGAGCGTAAAAAGGGGCGTGGCATCCGATCAAGATCTTATATAGCCTGTTGTTCCTTTTGGGGTTAGACCTATTAGCTGTCCAAATTTCATGTAAATCGGTTCAGTAGTATGTAGTTACCAAATTTCTGAAGTTATGATATTCTAAAAGTTTTTATTTAATTTAAATTTATCTTCTGTCGATTATTTTCCACAAGATTAAACAATTTTCATCACAAACATGAATATTTAAGATTTTCATGTATAAAATAATCAAATTTATGTAATCCCGAAAAATCCCGGGATTGCAATTTTCAAAATCCCGAATCCCGGGATTTGTAAAAGCTAGTCCCATTTAGCATCCCTAGTTTTGACCAGTGAATCTTTTTAAAAACCTTAATTGTTTCCTAGCACTATGGATCGCATTATGGCCGTGTCCGAAGCTGCTCTCCTTGAGGAGTATGATGAGGCAATGGAGGTCGACACAGCAGCAGCCACAAGTCAACGGAGTTCTACCGATAAGTCGGACGTTGGCACCACCAGTACGCCGTGGAAAAGAGGTCCCTTTGACCACAAATAAAATCTCCACTGCATCTGCAGTGGTTTCAGCTCCAAAGGTACCTTTGACCTCACCTGAGCCGACTCTACGCAAATTCCTGATCCCGTATCAGGTATCAATAAGCGGTCATTAAAATTACCGTATTTGTAAGCGAAAATTTTTATTAAATATGTGCCCTGTGAAATGCCATGAATCGTTTATATTGTTTTTTCTAATTATTCTTTTGCATTTAATGAAGCAAAAAATGCAAAAATTTCGCGTAAATCATAAATAAATTAACAAATAGAGCTTCTGATTATAAATCGACAAACACAAAATTAATTTCTTCTTTCTTGTTGGAGTATATGAACTAGCAAAATTAATGGCAACATGCTACGAATAAGGTGCCAATCGGCCACTAGCAATGACATCACCATGTTAAATTCACTAGTAAATAACATTGCTAGTGGGTTGAAAATTTACTAGTTGCAGTTTATCGTATCTAATATTTGTTCTCAATTCAAATTTGAAGCCAACCATCAGTTACTGGAAGATGCTAAAATTGGTTGAACACATGAGTTGTAACAGCTGAATCAGAGCTACGACTTTCCAATTTTTTTAAATAAAAAGTTAAAATAATGAAAGAAATTACGCCTATGCCTCGTTTTGCACGATACTTGTTTTGTACGATTTCGATTTTACACAATATTTTTATTTCTCGTGTAAATCGAGAATAAAACCTCGTTTTGCACGATTTTTTTTTATTAAAATGAAAACAACCTTTTGACACAATTTATAGTAAAATTGGAAATTGGTTCAATATAACATATTTTTGTGCTTAACAGTTTATGTATTGAATTTTTGCTAATAATATTTTTATATGTATATTTTCGGGTTTTATCCTATTCGTATTGCATTTATTATTTTAAGTTTTATGAATTTTATAACCATTTTGGTTGTTAAATAAAATGAAATTATTTTCTTTTATTTGCTTTGTTACGTTATTTACATTAAAAAAAACAAAATTATATTAAACAAATTCCATATATAGACCAGTTTTTGTAATTTTTCGATTTACACCATTTTCCATAAACATTTTTTTGAATTCGTTTTACACGATTTTCTCGGGAACGTATCTATCGTGCAAAACGAGGGACAGGTGTAATTAAAATTGTTAAATTACTGACTTTTTTATGTTCTTTATGTTAACGTTTGTTTTTTCAACGCTTGATTGATCATATAAAAGCTGAATCAGTGGCCCGGCGTTTAAACTTTCTCAAAAACTAATTTTCAGATAATTAATATTTTTATACCCTTCACCTTTGTGAGAAGGGTATATATAAGTTTGTCATTCCGTTTGTAATTTCTATAATATAATTTTCCGACCCCATAAAGTATATATATTCTGGATCCTTATAGGTAGCGGAGTTGATTAAGCTATGTCTGTCTGTCCGTCTGTGTGTTTCTTGAAATCAGTCTTTAGAGGACCCCAGACAGCGGCGAGATCCGAATCTTCAATAATTCTGTTAGACATGCTTTCGAGAAGATCGCTATTTAAAATCAGCAAAATCGGTCCATAAATACCGGAGATATGAGCAAAAATCCGAGACAACCTCTGAAGATTTTATTAACAAAGACAATTTTTTTCATGCTTTGATATAAGCAACAACAACACTGCTTATTCATTGAGTGTTTCGTTTCATATGTTTGGATGGCTGTGTGTTTCATTGCCTTGTGTATATTATTTTTGTTTCTTGGTGCATTCAGTTTCGTATGTTTGGATGTCTGTGCAACAGACAATTAAACCAACAGACTCTGTTGCGTTGTGTATTTTGTTTTTTTGTGTATTTCGTTTCGTATGTTTGGATGTCTGTTGGTTTTACTGCCTTGTGTATTTTGTTTTTTTGTGTGTTAAT